AAATCCCAAATTCCTCAAATCCTAAATTTCCCAAATTCCCTAGATTCCGAATTCCCCAAATTCCCCAAATCCTAAATTTCCCAAATTCCCTAGATCCCCAATTTCCTAAATACCATATTCCCCTAATTTTAAATTCCCAAAATTCCAAACTCCCCAAATTCTAAAGTCTTGAACTCCCAAATTCCCCAAATCCTAAATTCCCCAAATTCCAAACCCCAAATTCCCTAGATCCCCAAATCCCAAAACTTCCAAATCTGAATATTACCAAATTCAAAAATCCCCGTTATTCCCTAAATCCCAAAACTTCCAAATCCAAATATTACTAAATCCAAAAATCCCCTAAATCCTCCTCCCAAAATATTCATATCCCCCCGAATCCCAGCATTACAGAAAGAAGAGCACAAAGCTTGAATCGTTCGGTTGCAAAAGAAAATCGATCAGCTCCGAGGCGGCAGGCAAGATCGCCCCCTTAATTTTCTTAAGTTACGAAGCCATCGAGTGGCGCCGGCACGAATTTTTTAATCTCGCCACCGTGGAGCGTCGGATCGCAGTTTTTATTAAAAATAAGATGGCCGGCTATAGGGTCGTGCGAGACCCGAGTTTACTGTTGTTTCCGCCATGCGAGCCAGCTGCCACAAGAGAAACAGTGCCGTATACTTTCGCTTAAAGCCCGGCCCCGTCGTAAAGACCGCCACGATATTTTTCCTTTCGCTTCTCCTACGGATTCCTTTTTATCGCCGCAACTTTACGGCCCGTATTCGAAAATTTTGTCCTGCTTATGACTTTATGGCTGTCTCACGATCGACCGCTTTGTATAAAATGATACGATCTATTTGGCCAAACGGGAACACCTGTGCAACCGTTTTCGGGGTGTACTGATTTTTAAGGGTGGTTTGATGGGGGAAATTAATATTTGGGGTGTTCATGGCTGTTAATTTTTTGGAATTTTGAAATATTTTGATTGCTCCATTTCCATGTCCCAGTATATGACCCAGTATATGGCCCAGTATATGGCTCAGTATATGGCCCTGTCTATGTCACTGTATATTATGTCATTGTCTATGTTCCTGTCTATGTCCATGCATATGTCCCTGCATATGTCCCTGTATATGTCACTATATATGCCCCTCTACATGTCCCAGTATATGGCCCTATATTGACTTCTACAATTAACCTACTATTGTAGTGCGGTATACAACAAATATCCTTGTGTATGTACCTGTATATATCTTGGTATATATTCCTGCATATGTCCCTGTATATGTCACTATATATGCCCCTGTTCATGTCCCAGTATATGGCCCTATATTGACTTCTACAATTAACCTACTATTGTAGTACAGTATACAACAATGTCCCTGTATATGTATCTGTATATATCTTGGTATATATTCCTGCATATGCCCCTGTATATGTCACTATATATGCCCCTGTTCATGTCCCAGTATATGGCCCTATATTGACTTCTACAATTAACCTACTATTGTAGTACAGTATACAACAATATCCCTTTATATGTCCCTGTATATAACCTTGTATATATTCCTGCATATGTCCCTATATATGCCACTATATATGTCCTTGTTCATGTCCCTGTATATGGCCCAATATTGACTTCTACAATTAATCTACTATTTTAGTACAGTATACAACAAATATCCTTGTGTATGTCCCTGCATATATCCCTGTAGATGTCCCTGTATATGTCCCAGTATATGCCCTCGAACGTGTCCCAGTATATGGCCCTATATTTACTTCTACAATTAATCTACTATTGTAGTACAGTATACAACAAATATTCCTGTATATGTCCTTGTATATATCCTTGTATATAATCCTGTATATGTCCCTATATATGTCCTACGATATATCCCCGTACATGTCCCAGTATATGGTCCTATATTGACTTCTACAATTAATCAACTATTGTAGTACAGTATACAACAAATATCCCTGTATACATCCCTGTATACGTCGCCATATATATGTCCCTGCCCACGTCCCTCTATATGGCCCTATATGAACCTCTATAATTAATCCACTATTTGTACTACAATATACAACAAAGTACTTCCATAATTTAATTTCTACCATCGTCCTTTATGCTAATAAATGTCTGCAAGTTATAAGAACGCGCGATATCAGTTAAAAAATATAGAATTTACAGCAATAGAAGGTACGGGTGACTTATTACTACCATCGACAGAGTTCGAAGGTCGATTTTTAGGGTGCACCGAGTCTCATATCGCAGACAGATGGCTCGTCCGTTTTTACAACCAATAACGGACTTCCGTGGAAGATATACGTCTGTACCGTGTTCACTTGCCGATCTATACAGGGTGAATCACCTGACACCAGGATCACAAATATTTCCTTTGCGTTCCACGTTAAAAACAGCCGCTATCAAATATTTAAGAAACATTTAAGGAACATTTTAAAAATCCTTCAGTTGGCATTTTTTATATACTATTAACATAATTCGTGAAATAGTGTGTTATGTGTGGTATGAAGTTGTATTTTAGGTTTTGGAAAATGGAAGAGTGAAGGTATTCATAATTTAAAAAAATTATTTGAGTGGTTTGTTATGCGTGGAGAAAATTGTTGGAGTAGGGTGTAATTATAAAATTACGATTGTGATGAAATCCATAAAATATGGGAAATTAGGAAGTGGGAAATCAGAGAATGGGAAATTGGGGAAATGGGAAATTAGGGAAATGGGAAATTAGGGAAATGGGAAATTAGCGAAATGGGAAATTGGGAAATTGAGGAAATGGGGGAAATGGGAAATTGGGGAAATGGGGAATTGGGAAATTGGGGAATTGGGAAATTGGGATATTGGGAAATTGGGAAATTTGGGAAATGGGGAAATGAGGAATTGGGGAAATGGGGAAATGGGGAATTGGGGAAATGGGAAATTGGGGAAATGGGAAATTGGGGAAATGGGAAATTGGGGAAATGGGAAATTGGGGAAATGGGAAATTGGGGAAATGGGAAATTGGGGAAATGGGAAATTGGGGAAATGGGAAATTGGGGAAATGGGAAATTGGGGAAATGGGAAATTGGGGAAATGGGAAATTGGGGAAATGGGAAATTGGGGAAATGGGAAATTGGGGAAATGGGAAATTGGGGAAATGGGAAATTGGGGAAATGGGAAATTGGGGAAATGGGAAATTGGGGAAATGGGAAATTGGGGAAATGGGAAATTGGGGAAATGGGAAATTGGGGAAATGGGAAATTGGGGAAATGGGAAATTGGGGAAATGGGAAATTGGGGAAATGGGAAATTGGGGAAATGGGAAATTGGGGAAATGGGAAATTGGGGAAATGGGAAATTGGGGAAATGGGAAATTGGGGAAATGGGAAATTGGGGAAATGGGAAATTGGGGAAATGGGAAATTGGGGAAATGGGAAATTGGGGAAATGGGAAATTGGGAATGGGAAATTAGGATATTGAGGAACCTGAAAGTGATATAATTACTTGAGCAAGAAGAATGATTCAAAAACAAGAATTCTAAAATCATTCCGAATAGTTCCACAATTCCACTATTAAAAGTATTGCAAACTGCAAATATTTAAAAAAAAAAAGTATCGTTAAATCACAACGTTCTAAGAGATAACGGCAGAACGCGAAAAAAGAAGTTTTCCAGTAAAAAGCAGCAACCCTCTTGGAAGTTTTTCACGGATAAAAGTGTCTCTTTGCCACCATCGAAGGTATTCCTGTAATCGTCCTCGAATATCAACTCGTCATAAAACTTTTCCAATATTAACTCCCTCGCGCGATTAAAGTAAAAAAACGAAGCGAAAAAAGTAAAACCGGCAGGAAAAAGAAAAGAGTTGTTTTCAACGGAACCATCCTCGATATCTCATTATTCAGGCGAGAGTAGCTCGAACTTCGACCAATCGATCGTGAAATCGTCGAATATTAATGGAAATTAATTCGCGCCGATTAATTTCTCTTTCTGAGCTGGACGGTATCGGCCTCGATTCGTGATTACACGCGCGATTACTTTGTCCGTCTGCTTGGAAAATTGATCGAATATTCGATCCGATGTTTTCCGTTTGTGATTTCGTATCGCTATTATTTGTAATTTGGTATTGTGATAAGTGAGGACGTTCGGAGATCAAATGAATGATTTATGAATACTTCAATTACGATATTCCGATTTTTTTACAAATAAATTCTACAAATCCCAAATTCCACGGATCCCAAATTTCCCATTTCCCTAATTCCCTATTTCCCCAGTTTCCCATTTCCCTAATTCACCATTTCCCCAATTTTCCATTTTCCTAATTTCCCATTTCCCTAATTCCCCATTTCCCCAATTTCCCATTTCCCCAATTTCCCATTTCCCCCCAATTTCCAAATTTCCAAATTTCCAAATCTCCCAATTTCCCCAATTTCCCATTTCCCCAATTTCCCCAATTTCCCCAAATTCCCATTTCCCTAATTCACCATTTCCCCAATTTCCCATTTCCCTAATTCACCATTTCCCCAATTTTCCATTTTCCTAATCTCCCATTTCCCTAATTCTCCATTTCCCCAGTTTCCCATTTCTCTAATTCCCCATTTCACTAATTCCCCATTTCCCTAATTTCTCATTTCCCCAAGTTCACATTTCCCTAATTCCCCAATTTCCCATTTCCTCAATTTCCCATTTTCCTAGTTTCCCATTTCCCTAATTTTCCATTTCCCTAAATTCCTATTTCCCTAATTTCCCATTTTCCTACTTTCATAATTTTCCAATTTTTCCAATTCCTTATTCCCCATTTTCTTAATTTCTCATTTCCCCATTTCCCAATTTCCTCGTTTTATCATTTTCCAATTTTCTGATTTCCCAATTTCTACAAATCCAAAATTCCCCAAAGCCAAATTCCCGAAATCGCAAATTCTTTAGATCCCAAATTCCCCAAATCCCAAATTCTCTAACCTCGAAATTATTATTTAATTAATAGTTCAATTAATTATGGTATAGTTATTACTAGTAAATTTTTTAGACTCACCAGAAATACCATCGTAGGTCCACCATTCGTCCCAACTGGCCTCAGATTCTATAAAACAACATAATAATATATCATTAATAATAATCATAAATTACACACATTTAGTATTACAATATTCATTCTTTGATGAAATTTTAAAATAAATAATTTTTCGATTATCTTACGTTTCAAGTATAGTCAATTAAAAATTTGTTGTAATTTGTATTTTTTAGTTTAATTTAATTATATTACGTTTATCATACATTGTATTGTATTGTACTGTATTTTATTTTATTTTATTTTATTTTATTGTATTGTATTGTATTGTATTGTATTGTATTGTATTGTATTGTACTACATTGTATTGTATTGTACAATTTTCCTCAGAACAATATTTGCTCCTCACCAATTATTGTATTATATTGTATTGTATTGTACTGCATTGTATTATATTGTATTATATTGTATTGTATTGTACTTCATTGTATTATATTATATTGTACAATTTTCCTCGCTACAATATGTTGCTCCTCACCAATTATTGTATTGTTTTGTACTGCATTGTACTGCATTGTATTGCATTCTATAATAGTTCTCACAACAATATTTTCCTCCTCCCCAATTATCACCCTAAAGCTCCACAAACAAATACCATCGCACTCTAAATCCCTCCTCAATTTTCAACAAAACCCTACAGAATCTTCCATTTCATCCAAATTTACAAAACGCATATTCTGCAATTTCAAAATGTTCACAACGAAAGTAAACACCATCGATTTTACAAATAAAATGGTACTATACTCCAATAACCTAGCTAAGTGCAATAAAAGGTTTCATCACAAAATATAATAAAAAATTGTTGAACGTACTTTACAATATTTCAATAACGTGTCTATGGATAATAAAAGCGTTGTCATATCACGTTACCAACGTTTCTGTTGTTTTAATTCAACAACACCGTGTTTCTCATGGCACACCGTAAACACAATCTCGTTCCATTAACAATGTAGCAGTTTCTTGGCCAGAATATCCCTGGGAACTTGCAGGGAAACTTTAAAGCTGCATCACGAAACGGTGAACATTGATCGATCGAACCTGCTGGCAGCCGCAGATGATCGATCAATCGATTACAAGGTAATTCAGATTTGAAATTCTGAAAGCGTTCAGCTGGAAAGCGATCTGATAAAATCGAATCGGGAAATTTCAATTGCTATAATTTCATTTTATATGGAGATATTTTTGTTGGGGCACGTGGAGAATTTAAGAGGGATTAGATTAAGTTTAATTGGGTTTGCGGAAAAAATGGGAGGTTCACAAATTTTTTGTAAAATTACAATCACAAAGTTGATTTTCAAATTTCACTAATAAGAGATTTCGTAGTTTTCAAATTTTCCAATTTACAATTTTTTCAATTTACAATTTTTCCAATTTACAATTTTTCCTATTTCCAATTTTTCCAATTTCAAATTTTTCCAATTTCCAATTTTTCCAATTTACAATTTTTTCAATTTACAATTTTTCCAATTTACAATTTTTCCAATTTACAATTTTTCCAATTTACAATTTTTCCAATTTACAATTTTTCTAATTTACAATTTTTCCAACTTCCAATTTTCCCAATTTCCAATTTTTCCAATTTCCAATTTTCCCAATTCCCAATTTTCTCAGTTTCCAATTTTCCCAGTTTCCAATTTTTTCAACTTTCAATTTTTTTGATTTCCAATTTCTGCAATTTCCAATTTTCCCAACTTCCAATTTTCCCAATTTCCAATTTTCTCAATTCCCAATTTTTCTAATTTCCACATTTCCCAATTCCCAAATTATCAAATTCCCACATTGTCCAATTTCTATATTGTCCAGTTCCCATATTGTCCAATTCCCACATTGTCCAATTCCCACATTGTCCAATTCCCAAATTGTCTGATTCCCACATTGTCCAATTCCCACATTGTCCCAATTCCCCAATTGTCCACTTCCCAAATTGTCCTAATTCCCAAATTGTCCAATTCCCACATTGTCCAATCCTCAAATTGTCCACTTCCCAAATTGCCCTGTCCCCAAATTGTCCCAAATTTCTCCTTACTCCCCATAAAAATACATAAAATGTACCATTTCAAACTCTGACAATTTTTAATACCTACCTCAAACTTTTTTCCAATTTTCATATCCCCAAACGAACATTTCCAGAATCAGAATAAAGTACCAAAAGAATCAAAATAACCGCCCAAAATAAATTTTCATACATTGCGAAATGAAATATTCTAAAATTTTTCGGAAAAATGTGAAATAACGTCTGGTGTAAAAGTGGCGGAAAAAAGGACCACCCGGAGGTACTCGACTCAACATCCTCGTAATTGAATTTTCATTTGAACGAACGCTTTATCTGTCGCATTACCGCTTCTCTTTCCATATTCATTGCCTTTTGCACCTCGAAATAGCCAGTAGAACACGGTATCGAGTGGCTGTTCGTTTTTCGCATGCAAATCTTTCTGTGGCTATGCTTCCGTTCAAATATAACTTTTTGTATTATGTAAAACTTTCGGTCTGTTCATATTTTATTGTTATGTTCTGTAAAACAGGAGTGCTACTTTCGGATTTGCTGATATTCGTGGAAGCTTGGGGCTGCTTAAATATTTCCAACTTGCAGATATTTTGGAAGTCGTAATTTAGCGTCTTCGTATTTGGCGCCGTTAGTGTACTGCGCGCAACCCGTTAGTTGGCGCGGTGGCTCAGCTGATACAATAAAAATTGTATTTATAGATTATATTTTCTTAACAAGTAGTTTAATTCATTTTTAAAAATAGTTTCATATATTAAGACACTCACATATGTTCATTAAACCTATCAGTACAATTATACTGATGTTAAATTGTAACTTTTAAGTAACTTTGTGAATAACGATTGAGTGATGTACATTACCATAAGTATCCGGACACTTGGTTTCGTTACATAAAACATAGTTGAACTTTGTACGAAAGGTATTCAGGGTTATCATATCATTTGTAATAATTATTATCTTTTCTGAGGTGTCATAACGTAATAGAATTAATTTTTAAGTACAAATTATACCATGAAAGTGTGAAAGTAAAATTCATGTCCAGAAGTACAAAGTCCAAATTTGTGAATCTAATGAAACGCTTTCGATTCTAAAAAAAATTTTCATTTCTACTGTGTTTCATTTCTATGGTGCAGAACGTATTCAGAGGGTTCTTCGATATGTTTCAAGTGTTTGTAAACTGTTGGTAGATGTTTAGGTTCCCTCAATGGAGATAAGAATGGAGGTAACGCTACGCACTCGACAGTTTCGGTTTAGTTCGTCTGTAGCTTCTTTTCCATCGAGATACGAGTTCCAAACGAGAATTATCAATCGAAAAACGTTCCAGTATTCTGACCTTCGCAGAAGAAAAATCGATTTTAGTTACTGTTGCAGATACTTGAATAACTTTCGTGCAACGCGAATGCATATTTCGCTTGTGCCCGGATACTTATGGTAGTGTAACACGTACATGCTCATATGTAACTATAGTTCGAAAGAAATTTTGTTCGCCCTCTAAAAATGTAGCATATGGTATAAAAAAATTGTCTGAAAAATTAAATTGAAGTCAGCTTAAATTTAACCTTTTAGTGAAAGGTTTGAGTCACACTAGATCAAAGAACAAATCCTCATTATTTATGTTAATTTTCCCCATGTTGTAATAAAATGCGATTCGTGTGCAAGGATTCTAAATATAATTTTGTAGTGATATTTTTAGACTGCAATAAAAATGTTTCATGTATAGCAGTATAGTAGTATAGTAGTGTAATGAACATTTGAAATTATTCTACGAATTTCAAAATTTCGCGCCATTTCCGAGTGTGCTCACAGGTATCCATCTTCAAGGAGATAATTACATCATTTCTCGTGGCAATAAACGTTAAATTTTTCATCAAACTATACATTTAAAAATTCTATACATTTACAGTTGTCTTTCTTATAGCTTTATCAATACCTCCATCCATCTCCCTCTCCGTTTCACAGTCTTGTGGTTCCTCGCCTGCGATCGTCAGAGGCCAGGCTCTGTCTGACCAAAGCACGAGCCATTCCACTTCCGAGGGTGACCCATATTCGATTATCTGGATGCATGCCATCCAGTCTCCGTACGGCAAACTAATTGCCTCAAATTGGAAAACTTTCCAGGCCTGCCCTGATCTCTGCCCTCTGCTCTCTCCTCTCTATTGTCAATCTCCTCTAACCGTGTCCCTCCTATCTCCACCTTCCACGACGCTTGTTTCGTGCCTCTTACTGTTAATCCACCTTGCAGCAGCTAGTTTTAACGATTAATTTACTGGATGTTGGTAAATAATTGTTTACAAATTTTGCATTTATTTTTATGGAAATTGGGACTGTAGGTTCAAGTGATGAATTGGGGGGATGAGGTAGGATGGAGAATTTGATTTTGATGGCTGATGTCGGGGTGATATTATTACGGTGGTAGTATATGGCTTTTGGAAATTTTAGAATTGAAATGAAAATTTGGGGAATATTTCCCCAAATATTCGAATATTTGGACCATTTGGAAAATTTGGACAATTTGGAAAATTTGGACAATTTGGACAATTTGGACAATTTGGACAATTTGGACAATTTGGACAATTTGGACAGTTTGGACAATTTGGAAAATTTGGACGATTTGGACAATTTAGACAATTTGGAAAATTTGGAAAATTTGGACAATTTGGAAAATTTATAAAATATGAACAATTTGGAAAATTTGGATAATTAGGAAAATTTGGACAATTTGGACAATTTGGACAATTTAGACAATTTGGAAAATTTGGATAATTAGGAAAATTTGGATAATTAGGAAAATTTGGACAATTTGGACAATTTGGACGATTTGGACAATTTAGACAATTTGGAAAATTTGGAAAATTTGGACAATTTGGAACATTTGGTCAATTTCGAAAATTTGGACAATTTGGACAATTTAGACAATTTGGACAATTTGGACAATTTGGACAATTTGGACAATTTGGACAATTTGGAAAATTTGGACAATTTCGAAAATTTATAAAATATGGACAATTTG